GAGGGAGAGAAAGAGAGAGAGCCATTGCCTTCCTGCAGCAGGAAGAACCTGGACAAGCCCAGGGATGGATTTGGCAGAGATGTGGAGGGCCAGTGGAGGTGGGGCGTAAGGAGCATCAGCTCTGCTTCAGGGCGACAACAGTTTGTAAAGCGTAAGCAATCAAGTTGTAAAGGCATGCACACGCCCCTGCCTGCCTATACACAGATGCACACACGTGTGTGCGCACACACGCACACACACACACACATGTATACACAACCTGGTACAATCTGAATATGCTCAGTTCATCGGACCAACATCAGTGTCTTGGTTTTGACATTGGACTATATTATATGAAAGATGTCACAGTGGGGGAAAGCAGGGTGAGGGGTAGATGAAATCTCGCTGTACTTTTCTGAATTTCCCGTGAGAATATAATTATTCAAAATATAAGGTAAAAAAAAAAAGCCCTTAAGCAGACCCTTGAGATATGAAAAATAGTAGCATGAGAGTTGGCCCTCCTGTAACCCTCCAACCACCCAGCAAACAGGCTGCAGGGTGCCTGCCAGGTGATGCCCATAGACCCCAGGTCTCAGCAGCCCAAGCCCGAGAACACACCAGCAGGGAACCCAGCAGAGGGCACCGCCCTCCGCCCCCACCCCCTCCCAGACCCATCAGCCTTATGTGCCCACCACCCTCCAGTGAAGAATTGCATATCCAGAGCCTGTGCCCTTGGGTTTGGTGTTCTATTTGCTGGTTCCAGCTGAGGCCCAGAACCGGCTAGAAACCGTCAAGGCAAGTTTGTCCTCTCCTGGACGACTGGCCAGCTCTGTCCAGACCAAGAGAGCACAGCCCACCAGCAGAGAATAAGGCACAAAAATGGTTCTGGAGCTGAGATTTGTTAAGACTCTGCCCACACTTGCCCACCTGTTTATCTAAATCTCTTCTTCCCTATGAATGAGCATGAAAATAGCCCCCAGATGCCTTGGATTGTCACTGCCCTTAATATGCAAGGCTGACACGGCTGGCTGCTCTTCCCCGATTTCCTCTCAGCTGTTCAGAGGAGCCTGTCTTCCACACACATGCGCCCCAGAGGCAAGGGACAGTGGGGACAGTTTGGAAGCATGCTGGGCTCACTCACTGCAACCACTATCCTCCGTTGGTCAGAAGCCATAGATGTCGACAGAACACAAGGGGGGTGGGGGGTGGGCAATGCACGGAGGCTAAGGAAAAAATACTTAAAATGAAAAGATTGTATATTGCACGACGAAGCTTTTGGCCTCTTTGCTCAGCTCATTTGCTGTTCTACAATGAAGTGTCTAGAGGAAACATTTATCTCTGCCCTCACAGCCCGGGAACACCAACTCTCATTAACTTTCCAATTTCATTCCTTCAGAAGATCCAAGTTCAGATAATCCAATTTATATGTATTAAAAATTACTTGAGGCAAGTGTCCAAGGGAGTCCCCCCTCCTGCTCTCGCCCCACCCAGTAGTTCTCATATTACATAAGAAGGACTACTTAAAAAATGCAACCCACCTTTGTTTTGGTATTTGAGTCTGAGGCACTTGTCTGGTAACTGAGAAAGCAATTCTTGAAAGCAGTGGTTCTCCACCAGAGGTGTTTGTCCTCCAGGGGACATATGACAGTGTCTAGAGATACCTTTGGTTGTCACAGCTGGATTGGGGGGGCGGGGTGGGGGAGCCTACTGGTATCCTCAGAGTAGAGGCCAAAGATACTGTTAACATCCTATAACCCCACAAAGAAGGATTATCTGATCCAAAATGTCAGTAGTGCCAAGGTTGAGGAAACCTGCCTTCCAGTTCTCCACAAGTTTACTACATGTATAACCTTTATCACTCATTCAGCAAACAATCACTTGCAACTCAGCATAATCTTCAGACAGTGTGCTAGGCCCTGAGGCTGGGAGCTGCCTTCCAGTGTCTAGTAGAGGAACGGTGAAGGTCTAAGGAAAATACAATGCAATACGGATTCTGAGTGAAAATACATATTACCATGGGGAAGGACATGGGTCTGTGAGGCTGGGACTGGGGGACTGGAGGAAATGATGTCACTTCCCCCCAAGAGAGCTGCAAACTGCGTATTTAATCTCAGATATAAAATTCGATCTCAAATATAGAATAAATATAACTGCTAAGAAAGATTACCAAGCCCCAAAGCACTTTTGAAGCAACGGCCTTAATGTTTTTAGATACATACGCATCCTCTGAAAGAAACAACCTACTGCTTTCTCTGTGCCTTGTTCCCTATTAAGATTATTTTCCCAACAGTATTTTTCCAGTACCAAGGAGATGTTTTACTTCCTTCTCCCGTCCTTAGTTTATCCTTCCCATCTATACTTTTAAAATGTCCATAAACACGCTGTGCAATTCTGTAACTGCCCGTCAGCTGAGGGATACATATGTAGCCCCTCATATCTGTCCTTAGACAGCAGTTTGAATTGATTCACAATTCTGAGGATGCACGTTCCTGAACATCTGCCCTTTGGCCTCTCTTTTTTGATACTGAGTGCCAACTGTGTAACAGGGACAATTGTCTCCATAATTCCCGCTCCCTTTTCCCAAGCCAAGAGAAGCCCAGGACGGCACAAAGGGGCTGATGAAGAAGGAAAATGAGCATAAGAGCAAATGAACGGCCAGATCCAAGACAGTTTGTTCAAACGAAATAGCACCATAGATTAGATCTGCAAGGCAGAATAGCCTAGTGATCATTTCCATGGCAGATACCGCAGACAATTACATATCTTCCAGGTCAGCAATGTGAATGATAAAACTGTCTGGAACACCATCACTGACAAATGTGAGCTCATAGCTAAGCTGAAATTAAAACCAGTTATAAAACAGAATTATCACATGGCATATGCCCACGCACAAAATATTCCAGGCCATCTTACAAATTAAATCATTAACATACAGCTTGGAAGCTCCACTTTGTGAATACTTGTACACAATCCAGGGCTGTCATTTTTTTTGTTTGTTCTTTAAGCCTGGGTTCAAATCTTCACTCTACCCACCTTACAGTCCTGGGACCCGGGTAAATTAATATAAACCTCTCTGAGTCTTTATTTTTCCATTTGTGAAAGGAGGACAATCATAGCTATCTCTCAAGATTGTCATATGTCATAGGAGTCTGGGTCTCATGGGGAAAATACAGACCACGTCAGTTATTGTAACTGGACAGGGAGGAAGCAGCGACCATGCTGAGAGTTGGGAGAAGAGAGGTTGGAGTTATCAGAACTTGGAGACTTCAAAGAAGGTCCCTGTGGAGTTGGAGCATCAAACTGCTGGGGATGGGGAGAAAGGGTCTGCAGCCGAAACTGCCATAACAGAAGCTTAGGAGCCCATGCATCTGAGCCTCTGCTGATTCTGGGAAGGTGCAGAAGAAAGCAGGACACTGGAACCAATGGCCACTGCCAGGGTGACAGGCCATCTCCAGGTGACACCCCCAAGGACCAGCAAGTGTGGAAGAAGGAGCAGCTTGCTTCCCCAGCTCAGCCTCAGTCTCCCTCTGGTACCTCTGCTGGCAGATGACAAAGGAGAAGAGCAAATGCAGAGAGCCCAGACTTTGCACAGCGGAACTTGGAAGGCTAGATTTAGAGCTGAGGGACACATGGCTCCTTTATCCACTCGTTACCTACACGCAGGGGGTGCTTTCCGTGTGTCTGACTGAGGGGCTCTGCGCTATGCACTGGCGAGTCTGGAGGATTAAACAGAAAACGCTTATAAAGTGCGCAGCTCAGTGACAAGGACAACTCAGTTACGATCCATTCTCTCTCAGACCCAGTGGGAAACATAAAGGAACAGAAACCAGAAACCAAACCAAAACAACCAAAACAAGAATCCAGCTCCTGCCTTTCAGAAGTTTCGTGTTTAGGTTAAGTGATACAGGATGAGGTGTTCATACGCATTGAAAAAAATATTTCATGCAGAACTATTTTAAGAATTCAGAGAAGCCAAAAAATATTTGGGGGATGATCAGGGAAACCCTCATTAAAAAAAGGGGGGTGCGCCTGGGTGGTTCAGTGGGTTGATGCCTCTGCCTTCGGCTCAGGTCATGATCCCAGGGTCCTGGGATCAAGCCCCGCATCGGGCTCTCTGCTCAGCCAGGAGCATGCTTCCTCCTCTCTCTCTGCCTGCCTCTCTGCCTACTTGTGATCTCTGTCTGTCAAATAAATAAATAAAATCTTTAAAAAAAAAAAAAAGAAGAAGAAGATGCGAAAGGGTAAGACCTCACTTAGACCACAGCCAAAAAGGTAAGACCATTGCACATTAGAGAAAGCATGTGAACAGGTAGTCTTGGTGGGAATTTGCGGGGTGACCTGACCTCAAAAAATGGAGGATGGATTCATGATGTGGAGTATGGAAGGAGGGGCCAGTAGGACATTTCCTGACTTTATTCTGAGGCCTAGATGAGCCTCTGGGGCTTTCTGAATGACCAGAAGGTATGTATGAAAGATATTATCTTTGCAGTCTAGGTTCCCTCTATCATATCTAGCACAGGACCTTGCATATAATGGAATGTTTGGGAAAAAAATTATGACATTGACTAAGATGGGATGGGGCAAAATTATAAAGGCAGGTCCTAACTTTGAAAATCTGCATGTATTTTCCTCTTTCAATTCTGTAATAAATGCTTAGTAAAACGTTTCAAATAATCAATGAGCAATTTTAAGGCCAAAAATTCAGGAACTACAAGAATTCACGCAATGACAAAAAACTTAAGTAAGTGTGTAACCCACCCACCAAGACCCATGCTCATTTCAGATTGAGAGTCTGCCATCAGAACATGGCATTGACAAACATTCACTATGGAGAGACTTGGGAGGATTATTGATGGCATCATGAATTCATGCGGAAAAAAAAATAGTGTGGGACAATATGTTTTTGCATCAATTTTGGTGATTCATGTAGAAAAAAATGATATCGCTGGTGTGAATTTGTAATGGAAGTTTGCAGAGCATACAATGTACTCACACCTAATCTGTTGTGTTCTTCTTGGCAGATCCATTACAAGATTTTGGCTTTTCTGTTGACCAGTGTTCTAAACATTTAAAGTCAAATCTCAACATTAGATTTGGAATGATTCTGAGTAAGTAAAGAGTATTGACATGAAATAAAACGTTGCACAATCTCTTCCTGGTCCATGCATCCCAATTACTTCCATTAACGACAGGGGCTAAGTGGCTGGCTAAGCCACTGCCCCCACCACTGGAATCGGGTCTATTTCCATCTTCATTTTTACTTCTCTGTCTGGGTAACATCCATATATAGTGGAACTCTCAATGAATGCTGTGTTTTTTTATTGAAAACTCTTGAAGCATTCGTTTAGATGAAATCAGCACCTGTAATCAGCATATCCAACAACAAAAAGAGATAACATCAATATTTAGGCTTGACATCTATGTGGGAGAGGGCTTTTGCTTTGTTAACTCTGCAATGAACAAGTCTACCACCAGCAGTATGGCTTGTCATTTGATTTATTTCATTTTCCAAATAGCTGATGCAAGTTCTTAAACCTTTGACAAAGGGAAAGATATGTAATATCTCTCCCTCCACCCCAATCAATGAGCTGAAGCACTCTCTGATTGTTTCTTTTTATTTGGCCATGCCTATACAGTTAGTCATTCTATTGCTATAGCTGCTAGAGTATCTCCCTTCTAAAGCAGTTTTATTAAAACCAGAACTTAGCATGTGGAATCATTCCAGGGGAATGGAGGGAACATCGCTGGGGACCCAGAACTCTTGTGCATCTTCATATTTCCAGAACCTTACCCAATATCTGGATTCTATAGCAGAAGCTGAGTAATAAAAGAGGAAGGGGAGGTGAACCATGAGAGACTGTGGACTCTGAAAAACAATCTGAGGGTTTTGAAAGGGAGGGGGGTGGGAGGTTGGGGGATCCAGGTGGTGGGTATTAGAGAGGGCACGGATTGCATGGAGCACCCGGTGTGGTGCAAAAATAATGAATACTGTTATGCTGAAAAAATAAAAAATTAAAAAAAAAAGAGGAATGAAAAGAGGAGTAGGGGGAACATAAAAAGGAGGAATGGAGAGAAAGAGAGAACCCTAAAGCCTCCTGTGTCATATGATACAATACCTACCAAAAACTGTGTGTGGGGGGGTGGGAGACGCCACCCCACCACTCTCAGGGGAGACGCGTAATACTATGCAGCTGGGATGTTGTAGAAGCCAGGCCTGCAGCCATCAACTTGAGGGAGTAGGGCATCAGGGCAGGGGAGCACAGCAGAGTGCCTACCTTGCTCCGAACAGATCAAGCTCATAGAAGGGCCACATTCATACCTAGGGCTGCTGCCATTATGCTTCTTTGCTGTTTTACAGAAAGAAAGAAAGAAAGAAAGAAAGAAAGAAAGAAAGAAAGAAAGAAAGAAAGAAAGAAAGAAAGAAAGAAAGAAAGGAAGGAAGAAGAGGAGAGGAGAGGAGAGGAAAGGAAAGGAAAAAGAAAGGGGGAAGGGAGAAAGGCAAAGAAAAAAAAAGAAAGGGGGGAAGGGAGGAAGGAAGCAGGGGGAAGGAAGGGAGGAAGAAAACTGTTCCCACACAGGACAGGCTTCTGGAAATAAAAGGCCCTTTGGTTCATGCTTCTATAAATGTTGAATGCTTTGATACGCAGCGAAACCCACGCTAATAGTAAAGTCGATCTTCTCTTCCCCTTTAGGAGAGGACATCAAAGAGCTGTTTCTTGACATAGCTCTCTTCACTAAAGGATCGTCCATTTTGAATTTCTCCTATCCCATCTGTGAGGAGGATCTACCCAAGTTTTCTTTCTGTGGAAGAAGGAAAGGGGGTAAGTTGTCTGCCTTGCTGACTGCTCGCTAAGGTCGAGAGAGGGATGAACCATGGCTTCCAGTTGAGGCCAGAGCCCTGGTTCTGCCCCTCACCTTTGGACCAGCTTAACCTTGCTTATCAGCATGTGTCCTATAAAAATAACCATGAAGCCCATTTCACACAACCTACCTTATATACTGAGTATAAAAAACAAGTGAAACATGCCTATGAGACACTTTACAAACAGAAAAATGTTACTGTTCATTGTGGCACCTTGTAAAAAAAGAAAAAGAAAAAGAAAAGAGGCTTGCATCAGAAAGAACCAAGAGCTTCCCCAAATCCACTGAGATTCAAAGTTTCTCCAGGTTTCTCCTCAGCGATCTCTTTAGTGACAGGGTCTCCTTGATATGGCAATGGACTCTGAAAAAAAGAAAAAGAAAGTGAAGCTTTCTAAATGTCACTGTTGTATTGTGTTCTTGCCCAGTTGAGTCATTGACTGACGGGGGCATTAGGTAGCTAGATTCAAAGTACACAGCATAAAACCATAACCATCTGCTCCTTATTCCAAATCACTAACTGCCTACCTCCCTGCTGTACATACCCCAAGGAGCACAAGAACCCAATTCCAGGCAGTCCACACCTCCCTCTGAGTCTTGTCCTCCCCCAACATCTTCACCATGGCCCTGAGATGCCTCTGTTTATTTAACTAAAATGTTGATGTGATCTCTGACCGTCCTCCCGGAAGTCACTCTCCTCTTCCTTCCCAGGACATCCTTCCCTGCCCCAGTGGCCAAGGGGGAGCGCACCCTTAACCCCACACACCAGAAACCTCCACTTGCTTATTTCCTCATTCAAGGAAGCCAGAGTATAATCACCCAATTATGCTTTCCAAACAAAGAATCTAGAAGAAATTGGGGCTCCCTTCCCATAACAAAGAGGTGCAGACAGAGGAAGTTTGTGCAGGAAAAGAAAACAGGGAATTTAAGAAAGTTGCAGGTCCCCTGAAGCTGAGTGGGCTTTGCTGTGGCACGTAGATGACAGGCGTCTGTTCAGCCCTCCCTCCTCATCCTCTTCTCTGTTCCCCAAAGTGTGGGGTGCACAACTACACTGGCACAATCATTTGTTCCCACTTGTCATCCTTGGTAGATGATGAGCTTCTTGGTCTTTAAGCCCAGGACTTCAAATGTGCCTGCTCCATGGGGAGTACCCAGCACTGCTCACTCCTGCAGACAGAAAGAGCTCACATCAGTTAGTACTTGTGCCAGGCAGGCACTGTCCTAAGAGCTTCACAACCAGTCAGTCATTTACTTTCTACCCCAACCCTATGAGCTAGGACTTTTAACACTCTAATACCGAGCCCAGAGCTAGTGAGGGAGCCATGGCGCGAACCCAGATGAGCTGGCTCCAGGACCCATAATCTTAGTGGCTAAGGAATGAACCAACCAAAGAAGAAACAAGGAACTGTGCCGTTTGGCCAGGACTTTATTTGAAGTCATCATTCAAGAACTCTTTCTGGCCTGGGATCTGACTTTGTTGCAAATAGGGACATTTTTTTCTTCCTAGCTAACCTACCACAGACTGGTGAGTCAGTTTTCCTCTCTGAACTTACTAGAAATATTTTTGATTGATTGGGTGCATTCGTATCGTTGCCCAGCATGGTGAGCTCCTCGTGAGTTGATCCCTCTTCTATAGCCAGTGTCTACAGTTTTATTGGCCTTTATTTTGCTTATCGTTTCCATTTTACCCCCAAATAAGTGTCCTTGCACCCAAGTGTGGAAACAAATATGCTTGGAAGCACTATGAGTTTAGTTAGAAAGAATGCATGCTGTGTCAACTTCATTCGTACTTCCTTCTAGTCCCAGAATCAAGTCTCCCTTGCTCCCTCCTGAATGATAGAAATGGGGTCCGGTCTGATTTTCCTGCCTCCTTACTGCTGGCAGGGTAGTCTTCTCAAATACAGATTTGATGAGGCTGGAGAAAGGAGGCCACGTTCAGCCAAATGAATCATTCCCTCTGGATGTTCCTGGAGCATCTCATTCTTACTTATCTCAGCTAGAATCATATCCTATTGTGTGTGTTTCTCCCTCCTTAAACTGTGAACTCCTTGAAGGCAGGAATATTTCTTGCTCCCCTCTGTCTCTGGAGACTTGGCAAAGAGAGCCTGACACAGAATAAAGATACAATAAATACTTATTTTATTGAATTTTTATATGACGGATTGAATGCAATATACCAGCTCATCTTAAAAGCAACTATCTAATGATGTTTATACATACCACTAGGATACAAGTGCATCAAATCCTAGCAAACAGTGAATTATCTTGGCCCTCCATGTTTAATAAAACCTGTTTTTCCCCCCATGAATAGTTTTAATAGAATTACTGAAACAGGAGAGATATTGTTCCCCCCAAACTGAGATGTCCAATTCAGCTCAGCATCTCAGAAGGCTGGTGCTTGCCTTATCTGAATGCAGCCCTATAGCCATTTTTTTTTTTTTGCTTTATTGCTGCAGGGCTAAAACCTGCATAGGCAGCCTGAGAATTCCACTCAGGGAATTGCCAGGAAATTTCATACCGTATAAAACAGTCATAAAACTGATATACAAATGCTGCATGAACAAATAATTAGGTAAATTATATATGCCAGAAAAACTAACATCTTAAATGTAGTGGCTTCTTGGGTTATTACTTTTTGCTTTAACCCACCCACAAACCAATTGCAGGAATGATTCTATGGGAAGCAGTGATTAATTCTAAGACCAGAGTGGGGGGAAGAGCTGAAGCCAATTCAAACACAAGCACAAGCTGCTGTTGACATATTAAGCAGGAAACAGAGTCCCTCTGGGGTTTGCAGGTCCTTCTTAGCAGAGCAGTGAGAAAACTTGGTGTATACTGCAGGTGGCACACGAAGGTGTTTGATATCATTTGTTTGATATCATTTCCAAGCATTAGTATGCATTCCTCAGCTCCCTACACCCTGCTGGCTGTTCTCCAAGCCAGATAAACTACAAAGTGGTTCAGGTTTAGTGAAACATGTTGATAAAATGTATCCTTTCCTTCTGCATCTTCCCCAGCTGGCTCTAAGGCAAGAGCTCATTTTAGCTTTTATGGTGTGATTAGCCATTTGAGGGAGATAGCCTATGTGTCCAGCTATAGGGGATTGATTAAGCAGATCATTGTTCAGCCAAATGCAGGTTCGATGTCCTCTGCTTTTAAATGATGTTGCAGGAAACTATTAAATTACTTGAAAATATACTCACAAATTTTGTGAAGTGACAAAAAAGCTTGCATGAAAGAGTACTCACTGTTGGATACTGTTTTTAGTAAAACGTGGGTAAGTGTATGCACCATTGAGCTCTGAAATAGCATACACTTAGGTACTAATGGCGGTCAGCCCTGAGTGGAGGAACTACTGATCTTTGTTCTCATCTTTTTGGAAATCTCTTCTGCTTTCATAATAAATATACAAGGTTATTCTTTTCAATGCGAATGAGCACTGTAGGAAAGAATAGAGAGGATGAATTCTCTTCTTCCTCATCCTCTTTTCAAAAAGAATCAACCTACTTAATAGTCAATGATATTTGGAGTTAGAAAGTTCTGAGCCCATGTGTGGCATACAATGTCCAAGGATCTTTCAATATTCATTCTGGGTTACTCACTTTCCCCTTTACCCAGCTGTGGGTTCATTGAGAAGGAACCAAAACAGGTCACTGTTTCACTTTGTTCGTTGTTAATGTTCCCTTATTTCCTTTCTTGCCCCTGGTGGCGTTGGGTTATGAAGATCCATTGGCTTTACTTGATCTTGATGCTTTCAAAATGGCATCATTTTTTAAAGAATAAACTGGGATTAAATCGAATGTCCTAATGACCACAACTGATGACTACCCCTAAGGAGAGAACAGTAATGTCAGCAGAAGCTCCGTAGCTTTGGGCGGGTCCACAATGTGCCAACTGTGCCCTTACCCCAGTGGATCTCAATCCTGGTTGTACATTAGTTAGACCCACATGTGGCTTCTCAGCCATGGAAATGTAGCCAGTCTGCATTGAGAGGAATTATAAATGTAAAGTCCAAACTTGACTTCAAAGACTCAGTATGGAAACAAAGAAAGTGAAAGATCTCAACCATTGTTATATTGTTTATATACTGAAAATATAATATTTGTTATGCACTATGTTAAATTAAATTTATAAATACTATACCATATTCTAATTATTTATCAATAATAAAACATTATTATTGACATATTAAAATTAATTTCACCTTCTTAAACATGGTTACTAAAAACATGTAAAATTATACATGTGAGTGTCATTATAATTTTATTGGACAATGCTCCATTATAATTTCCCTTTACTATTTTGGAGATCCCAACACCCCACACCCCAGACCAGTTAAATCAGCATCTTGAGAGAAGTGACCCCCACCAGGTGATTCCAGTGCTCTGCCAAGGTTGAGGAGTCCTACCTTAGCCCCAGGCAGGCATAGCTCAGTAACAACTCCCATTATCACAGCATCTAATATGCACCAGGAACCTTTGCAGGTATGTTCTATATATTAACCAATTTATGGCTTGCACCAACCTTGTGAAGGATAGAAACTATTGTTATTATCCTCATGTCAGCAGATGAGGAAACAGTCCCAAAGGGGTTAAGAAACTTATCCAAGGTCACAAAACCACCAAGTGGTAGACCTGAATTTCTCTCTCCAGGAAGCTGAACTCCACGAACTTGCTCTAAACCTTTCTGTTACATATTCTCTTTGAACATCAAGAAGATATTGCTGGAAAAGTATGACTCTTTACAGCTCTCCACTAGAATTGGAAACAAGGATTTAAAAGGTACAACAAAATTATAAGAATCAAATAATCATTTTGGGCTTAACTATCCATTATATAAGGTGGTGGTTCCCAAAGTGTATTTCTGAGACCAGCAACATCAGCATCATCTCAGGAATTATCAGAAATGTGCATTTTTGGCCATCACCCAAAATTATTAAATTAGAAACTGTAGGATCAGGGCTTAGCACTCTGTCTTTTAACAAGCCCCTTGGGTCACAGATCAGCAAATTTGTTCTGTGAAGAGTAAGGTAGTAAATATTTTAGGCTTTGCAAGCCACATGTTCATGTGGTTTCTGCAGGACAAAAGTAGATACAGACAATATGGAAATGAATGGACATGGATGTGTGCCAATAAAACCTTATTTGTCAACACTGAAATGTAAATTCCACTTAATTTTTCTGTGTTGTTAAATATTATTCTCCTTTTGATTTTTTGGATCCATTTAAAATGTAAAAACCATTCTTAGCATATGGCTGCTGAAAAAGAAGCATTAGGGGTATTTGGCCCACAGACCTCAGCCTGTCAGCCCTGCTCTAGATCATTCTGTCGGATACTAAGGCTTGAGAACGACTACTATAAGGAAAATGAGGACTCAGGGGTCTTAGCCAGAATTCCTGAACACAAGTATTCCCTGGCTTTCACCACAGTAAGTACTCACCTAAGGTTCAGGATAAATTCAGATTAGGTTACTTTGGAAAATGTTAACAACTTTCCTTTAACCTATGTTTTGCCAGGGCCAACAAACCAGATCTGGGGCAAAGAGAGGGGACTTCACATAAAGACTGGTGCATGAGCTGGTGGCAGGGGAAAAAGAGACCTGTTTGAAAACACCAGAAAGCAGGATTGATGGTCTCCGCCCCTCCCATAGCTACCATTTACAGGCTGGGGACAGAGGGCTCCTCTTTCTGGAGGATTATTTGATCTGTCTGGTTCTCGGTTGCTTTATCTATAGAAGAGAGAAACCATAATTCTTTTTCAAGTAATAGTGAATACTAAAAAGAAAAAAAAAATTGTGTCGCATGCCTGGCACATTAGAAAACAATAAACATGGCAGTGACATGTCTCTCTGCCTTCTCCCCTACCTGAGGGACCTGGAGGCAGGGGTGAAGCAGCTTGAGGGACGTGCAGCGACTTATATACCGGGCGAGGGTCTCCCACGGAAACAGGGTGGGGGCAGGCCAATTAACACTGTGCCGCATGCTCAGGGTCCCAGGATTTCCTGAGGAGTAAATGAACAAGTCTCTTCTTGTGTCTTCCTATTCCATTTTGTTCTTTTATCTCGGTTTAATGTCAGCCTCTAACATTCTCATTTTATGCTCCCAGCTTGACTTCTTTCCAGAATGAGTAGAAGTGGAAATGTCCACTTCCTTCCTGGAGATGTGACATCTGTCCACGGAGGTGTGGTTTGTCCCCGTGGCCCCAACAAGACTAACCCACAATTGTCTTACATAGCAACTTCTTCCAAAATGTGGATTTGTTGACACTAACCTCCACCACGAATGAGACCCCATAGCTCTAGCTTGGAAATGAGTTGAGTTCACCGAAGTCCCTTTCATTCCCTTCTGGATTATCATGTGAACAACATACTTTGATTTCCATTCTCGACAAATTGGGGTTCACTTTGTTCAGCAACTTTCCTAGAATATCCTGTCTCTGGAAGATGAAGATGAAATGAAAAGTAGAGTGTAAAACTGATAGTGGGACATACTGTTGGGAATGAACTTGAAGGATCAATGCGGGAAGTAGGAAGAGGTCCTTCCCGGACACATTCCACCCAAATAGAAAGTGGGGTAGGGGAACTCAAAGGAACAGAACGGCTCAGGTTTTGGCTCTCCAGAATATAGCATGGAGGGCTATATAGATCCTCTACTGTAATGAACCTGGAGATTTGGGCAAAAACCTAGATTAATACCCTAAAAGAAAAAGAATGAACACAGCATTTTCACTCGTGATGGCAAAGACACATCAGCTGTCAGGCTTGATTCTGCCCAAACCTCTTTGAGTACAACCCAGGTGAAGACCATCGGTTTCACGGCACTAAGTAATAATTGGCTTTCAAAAATGATTTGTTTATTGCTTCATAAGATTAACAGGTGAATATTAGCTGAACCCAACCCCTTGCCAAAACCAACTAAAATTAAAATAAATGCTTGAAAGAGCTAAATAAGAGCATCTCACAGGTGTGTGTGTGTGTGTGTGTGTGTACGCGTGCACACATGCCCGTGTACAGTAGGTATATATGATTTTAAAGTAGGAGACCCATAGGTCAAGGGCTTCTCTCTGAGACCTTGGCTGCCATGACCGACATGGCTGAGGCACAATGAAAAGCTGGGAGGACTTGATATCATATGCATGTCAGAATCCCAGGGAGGTAGAGAAATCAACAGTCCCTACAAGATCTGCTAGTGCACGGTGCACCTGTCTCATTCTGGATAGGCTAACCACCTTCCAGGAAGAGCAAAATCTGCCAGCAGTTGCATACAACGGATAGTGACACACTTCGGGCAATATGAGGGCCACAGCAACAAATCAGGTGCGGATTTAATTTTAACTGTGTCTGGAAAGCTTGTAATTAAAATAAATATTACGGTGACACCTTTTACAAGCTGGAGAACCCTTTAGTCAAGGAAATAATTGCTCCCTGGTTTATCTTTTGTGTAAAGCTGAATGTTCCTACTTTAAGTGTTTGTCCAAAGTGGGGAATGCATTGTAATTAGATGAATTTCAATATGCAGCAGAGTAGATCCCATGAGAACTGTACATAAAGTCTGACATGCAATTTCCCACAAGGCAGGTATTATCTCTGACAGCAGCTAAGGGATCCTGCTATAATATTCATTGATTTTACGTATACAAATAAGACAAAGGCAGAAGCATAGGGGATGCTCGTGTTGGCTACCTGTCCTCCCACCCCTTTGTTAGCTCAGGTGTCTGTCATCTGTCCTGGTATTACGCTGGATGAGTGCATCCGGCCATCCTCTGAGCATCATTAATATTAATTGCAGAAACGTCTCAACTTCAATGTCTGTAACGATTCAGAATTGGGTCTGAACAGTTCTATCTAGATGAGCAATTCAAATCTCATCAGCTAGATTTCTACTGCCCTAGCTCTCTCTGTTTCTCTATGCTCCTTTTCACGGGTCTGTGAAATGGAGGAAGTTTAGAAATTGCCTAGATTTGGAGAAAATTCCCACAGATGCTTTCCGCAAAATGTCTACGCCTTGCACTGCTGTAGTAAAACACAGGACAAAAACACCTTCCAGGCAAGTGCTCCCTTCAAGAGTTTCCACCATTAATCTACACCGACGGTCCTGACAATCTCTATAAAGCAAGCCCACAGCCAGGCACCCCCACCGTGAGCCTCACTTTTCAACTGTTTCACATTCACTGCACACACACAAACAAATGCAAGCCCCAGGATTACGGTCATTGATTTCTGCTCTGAGAGAAGGGGAACAAGCAGCTTTATCTGAGGCCTCGATTTTAAAATACGACTTCTGGGGATTGTCACCTCTGTCCCACTTGTTTGCTTACCTTTGATTTCTAGGCCATTTTAGGCCACCTGCTTTTGCAAGCTGCTTTGCTTCAGGTTTTCTGCTCTGTTGTCCCTGTAACTTCCTTCTCAATCTCTCCGGATCCCAGCTTCTCATCCTTTATTCCTAGATGACAAGAGAGCTTAGATGGTGACTCGTGTGCCTTGGTTCCACTTTCCTTGGATGAATCAAGAGACCGGGGAGTGATGGTTCTCAGCTATCTGGAAAATTTCAGTTTCTCCTGCCATTACGAACCCCACTGTCATTCTGTCGCTGCAGGAGCATGCTACCAATCTGGTTTTATTCTTCAAGACTTTTCTGGGGCCTGCCTCATCCCACTACAGGGATGCCTTGGAGCGCAAGAGGCTTGGCCCAGCCCAGCGGTTCTCAAACTCACACATATATCTCATCACCTGGAGGACTTGTCAACTGCACCCCCAATTTTCAATTTAGTACATCCACAAGTCCCCAGACGAGGGGCCCCCACCTTGAGAACCACTAGCTTAGTTAGGGATAAGCACAGGGTTTGAAGCTGCACAGAGGTAGACCATCACTGCCACGCATGTTTATGTGACTGCAAACAAACTACTCAATCTCTCTGAAAAGCATCCCTTTCTTCCTGTGTACAATAAGGAAAATACAAGTGACCTCATGGGACTTTTAGAAGGAGAAGACATGGTAATACATGCAAAGCCCTTAGAGCAGAGTCCGGCACAGAGTAAGCACTCTGTGCATGATAAATGGAAGCTACTTCATGCAGCTGATTAGGGATTTCTCAAGCAAGGGCTCTGGGCCCCTGAAGTCATCCATCTCAGAGTAGAAGTCTGCATTTTAACAAGGCCTTCAGGGGCAGTAGAGCTTTCGAGGTAAGAGGAACACAACTCTAGTCCAAGCTGCGTACCCTCTGGTGGCTGACACAGGGGAGTCTCCGTGGGCTCTTCGTGTCTTGGGAGAGAGCTCATTTGCATTTTTCCTGGCACTGGACATTTGAAGCATCATCTTCACCTTTAGCCCTCCTTCTCTTCATGTTTTATTCTTTGCCTGCTTCCTTCGAGCTGCTGTGGATTTGCTGGTCAGTCGCCACTGTAGCAAAGTGATGGAGAAAGTCAACAAAAACAGAGGTGTGTGATGTACTAGCAGAAAACTCATGCTCTTAAACTGTAAAAAACAGAAGTCAGAACGATGGTCACCCTGGAGAGGGTACAAGCAATGACCAAGCAAAAGAGGACTTTTCGTTGCAAAAAAAAAAAAAAAAAAAAAGAAAAAAAGAAAGGAAGGAAGGAAGGAAGAAAGAAAAAAGGGAAACATATTGCCTATTAAGGAATCCTACAGCCCTGAGAAATTTCTATCTATAAACAAATTCGAGCCCATCTGTAAGAGCCAATAATATGTTGGAACTGTCCTCTGCCATCAGTCACATTTTCAGTTTAGCTGAACCCAGCATATTTCAACTAATGATGACCTAGGAACAAAGCATTTTTTAATTTTCTAAGATAATACAAGCTCCTTTATGAATTCCCAGCCTGTTGTAGATTTTCAAAAGTCTGGCTCAAAAGCTCCCACACTTCCATGTAATAATCATTTACGAAGCCAATTAAGAAGGCCAACTCCCAGCTCCCTGGACCACTCCAAAACTCTGATCTCACAGTTGCTGGTATTTGCATTTTAACAAATATCCTGAGAGCCCCTATATGCATGGACCTCGGAGACCCCCCAATCTGAAAAAAGCCATCCTCTGCAATGTCTATTCCATTATTTCCCATCACATTGCTGTTTCCTGTGTCTGCCCCAGGTTTCTGGAGATCAATTCAATTTCTCTTCTTTCTCTCCAGCACTGTCTTCTTCATTTCCATTTCTGGAAATCCAATCAGCCCACCAATTCACAAGTTATATTTTGAGAGTTGCATTAAGTATTTATCCACTGAAATTCAGAAATAAGTCGGTAGGGGAAAAAGAAAACTTAAATTTTCTTTCCCTTCTCACTGCCAGAAGTTATGTATCTCTTGGAGGGAAACTGAGCAGCCTACAAGACCAAATGTCTTGTAGGAGGAATAAACTTGGAAACAAATCATTTCACCTTCTGGGTCCCAATTCTTCATCAACGACTTAAAAATTGGCACTGTCTGGGGGCAGTGGCACCTGGGTGGCTCAGTCAGACAAGCATCCAACTCTTGATTTTTGGCTCAGGTCATGATCTAAGGGTTGTGGGATTGAGCCCCACATCAGGCTCAGTGCTCAATGAGGAGTCTGCTTGGGATTCTGTCTCTCCCTCTGCCTCCGTCCCTCCTGCAATGTGTGCTCACTCACTCTCTTAAATAAATAAATAAATCTTTTTTAGAAAATAGATAATTGGCACCATTTGGTAGTAGAGCCACTAGCCACAAGTGGCTATGGAGCACCAGAAATGTGGCCAGTCCAGAATGAGATGTGTTTTAAGTGTAGAATACACACTAAAGTTTGAAGATTTTGTGCCAAAAAAAAAAAGTATGAACAAAAGACTTCCAAATAGCTCTTTTATATTTTTATATTGGCTACATATTGAAATTATAATATTTTAAGATATGGGTTAAAATATATATTCTTAAATTAATTTTACTTCCTTTTTCCTTTCTGTAAAATGTGGCTACTAGAAAATTTTAAATTATGTATGTGGCTCACTATCCAATATGATAGCCACTAGTCACATGTGGCTATTTAAATCATTTACATTTAAATTAAATTAAAAATTGAGGCCATCAGTCACACTAGCTGTGTTTAGCTAGAGGCTACCATATTTGATGATGAAGATATGGAACATTTCCATCTTTGCAGATCATAATTAGACATCACTGACCTAGTAGTTTCTATATTGATCTAATTTTTTTAACAGTCTATCCTGAATGCAAGTATGTGCAGGTATATTGAAAATTTCAGTCCCCAGCCGAAGCTGTAATCCCAAGTGCCTTCTCTTTTGCTGAAATCTTGGGTTATGCTGGTGTCATGGTTCTGAAGGGCCCTTTGTTGTGGTCCCAGATTGAAAAAAGCCATCTCTCATGGCCCCTTCTCAGGTCAATAATCTGGAGCCTCCTCTCTTAATCCAAGACTACTGTGTTAGTTTCCTACTGCTGTTGCAACAAATGACCACAGATTTAGGAATTTGTAACACAAATGTATTCTCTTATAGTTTTGGAGATCAGAAGTACAAAACCAAAGTGTCAGCAGGACTGTGTTCCTTCTGGAGGGTTCAGGAGAGAATCCATTTCCTTGACTTTTCCAGTTTCTAGAAGTTTCCTTGGCTTGTAACCACTTGTAATCTTACTGAACTCACCCAGATAATCCAGGTTCATCTCCCCATCTCAAAATCCTTAGTATAATTATATCCACAAAGTCACTTTTGCCATGGAAGGTAACATACTCACAGGCTCTGGGGATAAGGACACAGACATCTTGAAGGCTGGGCATTAGCAGACTGCACAACTCCCAGATGGAAAACCAGTCCATTTGCCTGACCTCTGCGTACCACATAAAAAGGCCAACTGATTGTGCATAATCCAAGGAGAACCCAAACTCTATGTTTTCAATGAAAATGGCCTCACAGAAGTCAAACCATTTGGAGAACTTCACAGATGACACGGTCACTCATTTACCTGAGCAGAGATACAAGTTCTCTGTTAAGGGATCATGGGGCACCTGGGTGGCTCATTGTGTTAAAGCCTCTGCCTTTGGCTCAGGTCATGATCCCAGAGTCGTGGTATTGAGCCCTGCATCAGGCTCTCTGCTCAGCGGGGAGCCTGCTTCCTCCTCTCTCTCTGCCTGCCTCTCTGCCTACTTGTGATCTCTGTCTGTCAAATAAATAAATAAAAATCTGTTAAGGGAGCATATCACTGCTCAGAAAAAGTTGGCCTTGTTGGGCCATTATTGTCTCCTTGTCTGAGACCCCATAAAACTCCCACGTGCCATGGACCCTATTCATAAGGAAAGCTATTTGGCTGGAAGTCAGTTCCATGACTGGAATCATGCCAGGAGAGAAAGAGGGTGAGATAGAAATGAGTCCCTTATAAGAGTTTATTATTAATTATTTATTATTAAGAGGAAGCCAGCATGTGATTGGGGGGAAAATGAATAAGGATAACAAGGGTGTCTCAGAATCACCAGAGAAGTGCAAGTCGTGGGCCCATGAACAAGGAAGCCCTGGGAAGATTCTCGCTTTGTAGTTTTAAAAATGATCCATTGCAACGACACAGTGGATGCATTCGAGCTGTAAATAACATTAAGTTTCTCTAGTAGTAAAAGGCCAAAACAAAGCTCTCGTAAACCCGTTTGAATGAACAGTGAAAGATACCGAAGTAAAAAAAGAAAAAAAGAAAGAAAGAGAGATATCGGAGTAGCACAGACAAAGCTAAACTGTACTAATCCAAACTCTAATTGGATACTTACGAGCTGCAAAGTACAGTTACAATTCTGAAAGCACCAGAGCTAAGATGCCTAGAACTGACCAAAGGGGGCCAGCAGCATGATGGACATCTCAAGATAGGTTTGGAAATAAAACTGAACATTTTCTGGGGTGCCTGGGTGGCTCAGTGGATTAAAGCCTCTGCCTTTGGCTCAGGTCATGATCCCAGGGTATTGGGATGGAGCCCCGCATCAGGCTCTCTGCTCAGCTGGGAGCCTGCTTCCCTTCCTCTCTCTCTGCCTGCCTCTCTGCCTACTTGTGATCTCTGTCTGTCAAATAAATAAATAATAAAATCTTAAAAAAAAAAAAATTTTCTAACGACTGAGCTCCCAGTAGCGACAGGAAAAATTCTCCCAGTTAAAGGGTCATCTGATAGGCCCAGGAATCTCAAAGCTTCAAATCAGTTTATAGAACACACTTCATTTATTACAGGTTACACCACATTGGCCCACAGTGGCCTGCTGCTTAGGGCCAGCAAGAGTCCATGCAAGTGAATGAAGACACTAGAAACCAAGAGGCCGGCTTGCACCTCTCCCCCTCCCCCTGCTCCCTCTTTCCCGAGATTGCCAGCTCCCTCTCAGCCACACCTCCCACCCACCCACCCAGCATGGTCTTCACCTTCTTGTCCCTCTCTCTCAACTCCTGTCTTCTCCAAAGTGTGAGGGTCCAAGCCTTCCTAGGGATGATCCGGGACATTCCTTCTTCCTCCTGCTCTTCCATGCGGAAGTCAGAGAGCAGCTTTGAGGATGCTCGGATTTAGCTTCTGGGCTGGTGGCTCCCACATCACAGACCCAAATATATCAACAGCCAGCTTTCCAAGACCATCGCTAGCTCATATGGTACAAATTAGGAAAAAGTTCACCTTCTGCCAGGAGACGTTGTTGGTTTGGGGCTCCCCCACAAAGCCAGAGACAAGGACTCGGGGGTGGGGAGTTATTAGGAAGCAATGCCAGAAAGCAGCCATGAGCGAGGTGCTCGGGGGATTCAGGGCAGGAGGAAAAGCCAGGAAGGGATAAATGGGCAACTGATTACCGGGATGGGAACCAGGGCTCAGCCCCACTGGGATCCTTGGGCAACTGCAGGGTGCATGTCAGGATTGTCCCTCGGAGGGTGGGGAAGTTGTGGAATTTATCCCCAGATTCCAGTCCTCCTGGGTTGAGAGCTTCCAAAGGATAATGCCCTTGTGGTTGTCCTATGCAGGCTGTTGTACAGAGGGAAAGTAGAGAGGTGCCAGGCTCTTGACCTGGGACAATGTCAGAGGCATGGCTGATGCTACCTAGGCTGCCCTGATTTCAAAACTGGTTAGGGGAGTGGTCAGGACAGCAGAAGGATGTGCGGGTGGGACCCAGCCCAGACCAGGCTGCAGAGCCTGGGCCCATGAGGCAGGAGCTGGATTTGGGCTCCCACCCAGGCCCTTGGCTGGCAGCCTGTGCAACTGCACATAGACACCCAGATCACTTCTGAGGTGATACAGGCGTGCTTACCACACTGAAGTCCTCTGGTGGCCACCCTCAGGAAAGACATAAAGAAAGCACATGGGGACCTGGGTGGCTCAGTTGGTTAAGCGACTGACTTCAGCTCAGGTCATGATCCTGGAGTCCCAGGATCGGGTCCCATATTGGGCTCCCTGCTTGGCAAGGAGTCTGCTTCCCCTCTGACGTCCCCCTTCTCATGGTCTCGCTCTCTCTCTCTCTCATTCTCTTTCTCTCTCTCAAATAAATAAATAAATAATCTTATTAACAAAAAAAAAGACATAAAGAAGGCACAGATTCTGGGGAATAAAAGGCAAAATGGCCT